AAAACATAGACGCAATACACATTTCATGTCAACGCAATATTCAAAGTATATATGTACATCTAGAATAGGGTTGTTACATTAAAATAAATATATTAATAGGACTACAAATAACGTGTCAGCCCTATTCCATTTAAAGTTAAGAATGATATAATAGTGTTCCCTTTTTCCATTGTTTCGTTTTAGATAAGATATATGTTGAAAGTTGATAAAATGTTACGTCACTACAAAACACAATACAGACGCATTCTTTCATTTAAAAACCAACAAAGGCTATGTTATTTTATATTATTTTGATTACGTGAGCCAGCTGATGGCTGGTGTGTGATAAATACAAGTATCTATTAATAAATACGATTCAGAGAAACGAGACGCTGCCATTCATGAGTACCGGAGGTGAAAACGTTTTATGACAAAACAAACAAACTTGGCCAATATACATGTAATATATATTATGTAGCACTATAATCTAAACAGCTCTGTCTAGGCATTTTTAAACACCAAAACAAAAGCAAGCAAAATAAATGAAAAATTATTATTTCTATAATAAATAGTTTAATAATTACATGTCACATGTAAAATTCATAAGATGTGATTAATGATCTACTTAAGAGAGTTCACAAAAAACATCTTGAATGAGCATATTTTGAGTGCATTGAATTGTACATTAGTAGGTCAGTGCTAAGTAGAGGAACTATCAAGAACTTATCGCCCACACCCTCTCTAGATTTGATTACGTCATCTTTAAAAGCAGTTTTGGAATCTGGGCTCCAAATTCATCAATATTTTTTTATAGAACAAAATATTTGCGACACTTTGAAATTGCAAAAACGGAAGTAATTAAAAAGACAAGTATTATATTTTTATGTGAAAGAAACTGAACTACGGATATATTTTATATAAAAAATACTTCTAACATAACTAGTCTATGTAGCCGTCTGTACAGTCAAGTGACAGGCGACTTTTATCATGTTATATATCTCAGAAAATATAGTAACGGAAATTATCTCCACGGCGCCGACGTTAAGAGAAATAAATTATGAGAGTCAAGTAAAACGCTGAAATAACATTATAACATGAAAATATATACACTGCAATCTGTATGATCATACTAAAGGAAAGACTTTCAACCAAGACTCAAATCCTTTTAATAAATTCGTCGCTATTAATTGCAGTATTTGGACAATTGACGATAAAAACATAACTACTCATTAAAAACATGAAAAAAACCTCTAAAGCTATTGAATCTTAAATAATATTTAAGATCTCAGACAGCTTAGAGACCGACGCAAATATAATCTTTGATTTACAACAGCGACAATGAAAGAGCGTCGCTAATCGTTTGATAAATAAATAAATCAAATATGATTTATTCTCACAAAAGAATCGTCTAGAACGAATCCGATTTCAAAATAGAAAGATAAGCATTAATTGAAGCCTAAATTAACTTTCATTTTATTAAAAGTTACGTAGGCTCAGTGTGGCTATCGCCTATCGGTGTTTGCAATGATTGATTGAAATCATTATACAAAGTTGAACGAAGTTAAGGATGCAGAACGAAAAGAATTTTATAATGTCTTAACGGACAATGTGGCGTACATGAATGCATAGTAAATGTATTATTTGATTGCAATATGTTTCTTTAAACCTTTTTCATTTAGTTAGTTCAGATTTTTTATAATACAATTAATAAAATCTTTGAATCCTTTTTAGCATCATCAATTTATTTCAATAACTCTAAGCGACGATATTAATATTAAATTTCTTAAAACATTACGTGTACGTTAAAATAAATTATAATTTTTGTCATCGTGGCATAGGTTATAGAGGAGTGACGCGACTGTACCAAATAAAACCAAGGCAAAAGGCAATAAAAAACACATAAAATAATCAACAGCCTGGTAGAAGTTGTAAATTTAATTCTGCCGACCTTAAAACAAGGATTGCTCCTTGCAACGAGAAATAAAGGACCTATGGGGTCAGACTTTGGGATACCATCAACCTATTTGACACCAAAATCATGATTGTTCCCATTCTTATGACAGACATTAAAGTCAGTTCACGTGCAAAATACAAGGATCTTCTAAGTAATTTCAACATTCTCTATTTAATTTTGTAATTGCCAACAGTGTTGAATATGGTCAAATATCAAATATTACAAACCAAACATCCTGCCCACATACCAAAGCGACAAGGTCCTCCTTATAGGAAGCCTGTGGGTAGACGTATGCTGAGCAGCTCGAGCATTTCGTCCGTCAATGTCCCGCCTCGGTAACCGCCATGCCATATTTATTTTTAGACGAAATTGTCCCCTTGACTTTTCATTGGAATAACAGACCTTATGTCTTTTTTCCTGGAGTGACATACCATCATATTACAATAAGATTGAACTACTTTTGAACATTGACATTTATTATATATTTATTATAATAACTACGCTATTGCAATTTATCAATGGAAACTCCAATTGCTCTTAGCATTATATTTTCGTTTAAGTCCTCTTGAAAATTATAAGTATTGTATAATAAAGAAGAGTAATTAAAAACAATTGCCTCTAAAGTTAAAAAACTCCCAACGACTCGTTACGAAGACGATAAACGTGAAAGAGTCTCGAGCAGACAGCCAACCTGCTCAGACGGGAATGTAATTACCATAAAAGAAAACTGTTTGGGCTTTAACACTCAAGGGCGAAGAGAATACGACCTTGCTGTATACACCATCTTAAATAATATTAATAAACATGAAACAAATTAAAGTAAGTTAAGTTTGTAACTAATAAAAGTATTTATTTGTAATTTTCTAAGGCCTTACTGATTGTGGAAATGTTCTTGCAAAAATTCAACATTAAAATCAAATCTAAGACGGTTTTTGTCACGATGACTTAATACGGCCCGGAGATGAGTGCACTTAAAATCATATGTAATTATTACAAAACAAGTAAATGACAAAATCCATTATACACAAGCATAATTATGTAAGACAGGAAAACTCATTATTAATAACTATACTTTATGTTTACGATGATGTACGGAATTTTGCATTTGTTTGAAATCATGGAATCATATGAAACTATTGAAAAAGGTTTCTATTAAACCGATGAAAAATTTACTTTGAGTAACCTTATAACAACCAAAACTTCAGAAATTTATTCTAGAATTGCAAGTCTGAGTTTTTGTCGATTGCAATTCGAATTCTTGATGAATTATTTATAAAAAAATCCGTACAAAACTATATAGGATATTATTTTTTATACGATATATTCCATTGAAACTTTTCTACAAACGATTCAATAATCCATACAACGTGATAGGAACAAACCATATAAAAATCTACTTCTAAAAACGGAAACAACCGAGCCCTGCGGAAATGTATATAACGTTTTCATCACTCAAAAGGTAAATAAGGAAATAGTGTCGATGTTAAACGAACATTTCATGGCAAGGTCGTCAACAACGCAACGACCATCTTAATGAAGCGAACAAACCGATCGAATGATATTCAACATTAATTACCAAGTGAATACATCTTAATACGTAATCACTTTGATGTTTTGATTCGATCGCACTTAGTATTTACAACTTCATTTAAAATTAAAACAAATTGTCTGTGTTTCCAGTCACGTTTAAACTGTATCCTAATATACATATAGAATTCTAAAAACGATAATATGGCCTTAAATTAACTTAGTCGTCGACATATCACAAAAAAATATGAAACTTAATAAGAATTACGGTAATTATTATCTGTTTATTAATTAGTATTTTCGAGAATAATTATCATTAAAATCTTTTCGTTCAAATTATATGTCTGGATATTAATTAATTAACATACTTAATACAAAGCTAGAACAATTAAGAACAGTGAGAAGAATAAAATTCATATAATTATTATAAAGTATACATATTATGACCAACTTGACGTTGATATATCTTTGAATCACATTTTAATAAAACCTTTTAATTAATATTAATCTTGAGGTTCAGAATCGAATATAAAGTTTATGTGGGGGAAAACAGCTGTTCTTTTGAAACAACGGTATAAATACGTTGAGTATATAGTGAAACTAGTTAAATTTTGAGGGTAAAAAGCCAGTTATGTGGGTCGGTAACCACGACGGCGAATGTTCTGAGGAGGTAACGATCCGTTAGCCCCTAGATACCGTCTGTTAAGACACGGTCTGATGACCTAACCTTGGCCGAACCATCCCGCCTCATCCAGACCATATGAGAGTGACATCATCGCAGAACATATTCTTATATCTATGGTGAGGCCAAGGACGTAGAATCCAACGTGCTTATGAGGCAAAGATGAATATTAAAAAGGAAAGTCGGGTCATCGACCCCCACAGAACGACCGTTGGACCGTTCCAATTCTTTTTTAACGACCGAAAACTTCTGAAACCGTCACGACAATTTCCTCGCCGGCTTGGACGTTAGGTTAAAAATATATATAGCCTGTAAGTGGCTTAGCTGTATTAGTGAAATTATGGACCTCTCTATCGCACGCAGCGCTAGGTGTCTATGTAATTTTAATAGCTATTGTAATGATTGTTAGGTATAACGCATGACTTTCTAAGCTTTTATGTCGTAAAGTGATTTTGAAATCAGATTTCTTCGACCTTTGTCTTGATCGTATGTTTTTGCAATTGTATGTGGCCTCGGTAGTTACATATGTATATGTATGTACGTTATCGTACAGACAACTTATCTTAGCAAATAATTTTTACGACAAGTATGCGCTTGGAACTAAGAATAAAGTATCGTTCGATAACATAACAACCTCATACTGTCATCGCGATACATAAAATTAATAATAATACAAACAAGTTACAATTATACGCATAATTGAACAAGAAAAACAAGTTAAACTACGGTAAACGAATGTATTTGATAAAAATAGATATCAGCCCTATTGGTAATGCATCGGTATTGGCCACCTTTACCGCACCTGGCGCGGACCGAATTCCTAGTAGATAGTACATAGACGTTACAACAAAATCTTACCGAGACCGCGACAGAGGCGCTCGGGACAACACCGGTATTATCTACATCCTGGCCATCGGGGGCGCTTAGAAATCGGCGTAAAGTGCCGTATCCAGACGCCGAGGCCACCATAGCTACCATAATGACCACCACACAGTACCACTAGCAACTCAATGACATCACTACACCACACGCGCGGCGTACAGCGCGCCCGACGCGATTAAACTGCCTGCGCGCAGCCTATACCGCTGATACGCGCCCCTCTACCGACACACGACTCTTTGTTTGATTTAATTGATTAATATTTTAACTTAATAATTCTCAAGTATTGCATACTTTACATCAGAAACATAAACTTATTTATTATATGAGAATAATGAAGTATTCATTAAATACTTTAATAATGGGCTTTATATAAAAATCATAAGGATGCTTTACATTTTTGCTCATCAATCAATATTCTAGATTAAGTGGATGAGATGAGTCATCTTCAATACTGTGCACTTATTGCAAAGCTGTTCTAAGTTTAAGTGCACCAACTTGTTTCCTGGTATGGTAGTGATGTATAATTTTCTCAACATTTTAAGATAATACCAAGAAAAATGTGAGAAAATCTTCATACAAACATTCAGTTTCAGTTTTCTAATGATATATTATGTACTTTATTTAAAATTAATTAATACCAATATTCATGGTGGAGGGTTTCCGAGCAATAAATAATTTAGCAGTAACTGAATACAATTGATTCTAAATCATCTGAGAATTGTGTTAGTCTATACAACTTCCTACTTAAGAGTCCATAATATTAAAATTTAAGCCTCTTCATTATTTTAAAAGATGTTTAATTACAAACATTAAGTAAAAAACTTAAAGGGGTCCATTTTAATACATAATGAGATCTAAGATTGTCACAAGTACTCATTTAAATGAAACTAATATTTTCGAATTTACTATGCCATTTTTTTTATTTTTGACTATAAACGACTACTCCCGACATTTCGGCTACTTCACAGTTACCATGATCACAGGCAGACGAGATGTGAGTGTCTGTCAGTCGGTCTTGTTATTTTAATACATTTTAATGGTCTTGTTCTTTGTAAATACTAGTACTTCTTGATAGAAATACAAGAGATTTGGAGATAGTCCATAGAAACCTTAGTAATGTGACTTTGTATCACATAGATTATCTGATTTATTTTAAAATGAATTTGATAAATTAAATTGAAATCTGTTCACAAACATAAATAAAATTTCTTGATGAATAATAAATTTTACCTAATATTATTATTTGATAGCCACTATGAAAAAATTCAGTTCTATGAAATAACTCAATGAAAACTTAAAAAAATATTCAGATTTGAAGTTTCAGTTTCAGAACAAACAATATTGTGCAGATACAGATTATAAAATCAACGATTGAAATATGCAAAACCTTTTTGCATATGAAACAGAAAAAACACATAAAACCACACAAAAACTATATATGTATATGTGATATAAAATAATTCACAAATATGTTATGTTTCTATATAATAATACTTATAATAAAAAACAACATGTCCTTCTTCTGAGTCATGATTTACTGAATCAGACAATAATCATACTTTTTAATATGAAAATATTTTTAATTCTTTTAACATTACATTTTAAAGGTAATGAAACCTTAATTAACAGTATGTTTTATACAATTTTTGAATGTCAACCAAATAATTAATATTGATATTTAAATATTGCACAAGTATATAAGTGTAAATTTTATATCAAACTCAGTACAATACAAAGGCTTCTGATATATGTATTGAATGGTTAACATTGTCCTAATAACAATAATTTATTCCACACAAGTGTGGGCAGTACTTCACCCACTCTTTGCCTTGATTTGTTCAGAGATCTATAAGGTGACTCCATCATATGTTTAAGGTATCATTGAAAATGTAATAAATTTTTTTGACTTAGTTTTTAGTGTTAACTTAAATTTTATAGCAAAATTTATTAAATTACATGTCTCTTTGTCGTTTACGGTTACTAACGAGAGAGTTGGAAAGAATTTTATAAACATGTGCGCGGTAAACAAATCTTGAACAACCGGCAATTGCGATCATCTTGATCTTACCTGCTTGGTGTCTACGGAATCCGTAGCCTCCATTTTGGCATATGTTCGCTCCTGTCTTTCCATGGCTTCGAAAACATTAGAAACTTTTAATCCATTTACTAGGATCTAAAAAAGTGCACGATGCAAGCACAAACATAACAATCACGATGGTATAAAAATTTATAACGAAACAATGTCAATGATCCGACAAAACACGTTCAACACTACTAAGTTCGTTACTCTATATCAATTTTTACTATTATATATGCAGTCATATAACAGTGCACATCCTTAATATCCAAATTATAAAGTTGACCACTAATATAATTTTTTAAAATACATTAAAGAAAACACTGTTCATCACCATCTTAAAATTTCACACATTCCGTCATCGAGGCCGACTGATTGTGGTCGCTGCCCTGTGTTTCGTTCCTGCATACGCATTTTCTAAAAATGTCATAATATTTTCGTTATATTGTATCGATGTAAGATTTTTAAATTAATTTTTAATTTAAATTGTTAAATACGCTTTGTATAGAGAATATTAACAGTTTTTATTAAAATTAGTCCAAACTATTTGGAAGAGAATCCTGTTCTTTAATTATGATATTAAAATTCCAACCATAGTAATCAGGGTCTGATATGTAAGAACAAGGTATTCATACAAGTTTGAGTAACAAAGCAAAAAGTTAGAAAAAGTAATGTTTATAATCAAAAATAGGCTGATATAAAAGATACGCCAAAAATTTTAAATAGTCTAAAACAATTTTCAAACACTTTAATTCGAGTCAATTGCTAAATTATTTAATTTTGTTTTTTTTATAAATTTTTGAAAGTTAAGAATAATTAAATGATAAATTTTAAATAATTTATCTTATTATAATAAAATGTATAACTTCGTCGCTTGTGACACAGTTGATACCTAGTTACTAATTTATCTTGACAGTTGTCACAGTGGATGGCTACTGTTTTGAGAAATGTCAAGCGTGCAATGCTTAGATACTTCTTATAATCACACACAAATTTTATTCAGTAGTTAAATGAATATAACAAAATAAATAGAATACCAATAACATATAAATGCCTCGAGAGAAAAGCAAACATCGCGATAGAAGAAGCTTATCCTACAGCTCGGAATCGTCGTACGAAAGAAAAAAAAGTAAAAGCAAACATAAACGTCGTTCACGTTCAAAGGATCGATCGGAGAGCAGCTATAGAAGAAAACGATCTAGTTCAAGATCAAAAAACAGAAGGAGAAGTTATTCTAGGAGCATTTCAAGGGAGCGTTATGAAAGTAAATCCAGACGACGTTCATCATCACGATCGAAGTCTAAACGATCTAAACATTCCCGTGACCGGTCTCGCTCTAGATCAAGATCTCGAAGTCGTTCTAAACACAGCAAGAGTAGTAGAAAACATCGAAAAAGATCCCCTTCCTCTCTCAGTAGAGACTCTTTCGATATAGGTATTGTATGACATTAGTAAGTTGCAGTGTACTGCTATTCTTGACTTTTACTATAGTGTTATATTATTAAATTATTTTAGATCCAAGAAAACCTAATCTGGATGACACTGAAACCAAAATTGAAAAGGCTATTAAGGCTGCCGAGGCCGCAGGATTGACGATGACAAAAATACCAACTTACGAGTATAAAGATGTTGAAGTGAAAGAAGATATGCCCACAATACATGATAGGAATTTATTAGCCGAAATAAACAGTGATTCCTTCATGCCAAAGACTTTTACATCATCAAGAAGCAAGAAACAACAGAATATTGTTATAGATCTTAACACAGAGACGGTGAAGGTTCCAGAGGCAGAAGTAAAAAATCATGTAGATGACTCAATTATTAATTTTGATGTGAGTGGTTTGTCTCATTAGTTTTAAAACAAGAATATTGTCAAGTCAGAATGTACTTAAATGCTATAATTTTACCAAGACTATAAACTCTAAGAAAGATATTGATATAAAATTTTACTAAAAATTATAGATCCAGTCCAACTGAAAGTTTCCTTAAGAAGTATTTTGTTTATTCATCATTGGTCCAATTACAGGTCTTCTTTTAACATGTACTTTATTTCTCAAATGTAATTCTTTTTCAATATTTTAGGTCTTTTTTCATACAATTTTGAAGAAGTACATCCACTAGTCATGTTTAAGTCTATTATGCTTGATTTGTTCAAATGAGAGTATGAGTAGATTTTTTCTTATAAACTTATGATTTTTACTTAATAAGATAAAATTATTAACTAGACTACCAGTTTATTTATGAAAAAAATATGGTTTTTAAGAAAATATTTAAATTTCATATTGTTCCAATGAATGAATACAGTTTTGATATAAGGTTTATTTGATAATCTCCTAAAAACAAGCATAATTACTCTGTGCCGCATAACAAAATGGAGTTTTTTTTTCTTCAAACAAAACTTCTTATGTAATTTTTACTATATACAATAGGAATAGTCAAATTATAATTAAATTTGAGGTCAAAATCTTGTTTCTGTATGATGTAAATTCAAGACATTAAGTTTATAAAAAAATCTTAATAATTAATTTTTTTTAGTAGTTTATATTAATTGAGAATTACATTTTATTTCAGGAATTACCCAGTTTAGAAGAGTTAAAGGAGATGTGGATCAAAAAGCTATATATGTATAGAAAGAAAATGCTGAAAGAAGATATGTAGGTTCTATAACTTGTTTTAAGGATACTTTTCGTAATTTAAATGAAATGTGTACAGGATATGTTACTTTGAGTTTTGCTACCTATTACATCTGTATTATGTATGAACAAAATTAGTATAAATCAATCGAAAGTTATCTTGTATGGTTTTTCTACTTATGTTCTGGGTATAGAAAAAATAAAACTAAAAGTTGGTTTGATGTAAAAACTTAGCGATTTGTTGGTCTTTACTCTGTACTATCCTAAAAAACTCCTATTTTGTTGTTACTGTACTTCTATGATAGAAAATTATACACAATTTGTAATACATCTTTAATAACAATAAACATATTAATACCAAGGACAAAAATAAATTTATTGATATACACAATATCCTTTATATAATCTGTATAGAATTTGTATTATATAACATTCTGAACATATAAATATCGTCGTGTGAGAGTGAACAGGGATTTCAATTAAGAATAAACAATGTAACAACCTAAAACATTTTTATTGATGCAACAACTGTTAGACGAAACTCACAATTTGTAACGTGCTCTGGTTCTACATCCTCTATATTTACAGCACAACAATATTTAACTTATATCAAGACTTTCACATGTTTCTCTCTCTTTGGATGCGACTTCTGTAAGTTCGGGAGACGAGGTTCCAGGCGTCCATGTACCTGTCCATACACATCGCTATACATTTCTGTTCGGAATTATCTAACGCTGTTCCAGGCTTGTTGATACACTTTTTAAAACATTTCTCAGACATTTTAGCTAAAAGTTCTTGTGCATTAGCGATTGCAATTTGTTGCTTCACTTGGTCAATTAATTCCTCCTTCTGTGCGCCACTTAAAGATCCCGTAGAAAGTGAATCCATTTTATTTGACTTATAACTTTCGTAGTTTTGTAACAAAATTCATAAATTTGAAATAGTTTGATTCAGTAGGAAAATCTAACCTCAACCTAACGAGCACAGCCACAGATTATAATTTCACACAATATTTAATTACAAATTGAAAATCATAAGGACATTTCACAGATAAAATATATGTAGTTTTAAAATTCATATTTTAACGTTTTTATCTAGTATGATCCTGTTAATAAATGTTTAAAATGTGTATTGTATATATTTTTAGTTGTATATATAAATATATAAACTAATATTAGATCTTATGATGGTCCTTCTTTAATGAGTAGAAATTAAGATTTTTATAAAATATGAAAGATTAAAAGTTTAAAATCTGAGAATTATAGAACGTTTAGTATTATGAAGTCTTGTACGTAAATGGCTAAATATCCTATGTGCGAAAGGATAATTTGTATGATTTTGATTGTTTTGACGTTTGGGTCATAACTCATAATGCCGGTTTTATTATGACAATTGACAACAGAATTAAGTGAATTCTGGTTCTTCTCATGGCACTCGCAGTAATTATTTACTATAAATTGCTATATTAATAAATATAATGTATGTTTCTATTGCAAAGTTATAAAATAAATATACGTATTTAAATAAAAATGGATGAAATGATAAGCATCGCTAAAGAAGTTTCCCACGACGAAGTCCTTGAAATAACGAAGTCGTTATTGTCTACATTATTTAAATCAGATTCTTTATTGTCAGACCTGCCATCTGATATAATACTCGAAGAGATATTGTCTCAGGTATTTCTTAATGGGTTTCCTTTATGTTGCATGCACATTTATAATCATAAAAAAATTCAAGTAACACATACATAACGTTAATGTTGGAAGCTCTATGACTATACGGAAAAAACAGTATTTTGTAATTAATTGCTTTAAATATTATATTGAACTGCATTTTAACTGTTGAAAAGATAATGAAGTTATTAGATTTGGATGTCATGAAAATTTCTACTAACCAATAGCAAAAATTTCACTGTAGTGTTAAATATTGCTAACGAATGGCTGTATTAAAATGATCATGACGTTATGGATAATGGTGGCTATTTATTGGTGTTTCCTCTTAGACAACATAAAATTGGAACAGTTTTGCTGTCTCTGTTCTTGATGCATTTAATTCAGATTGCTTCAAAGTAAGAATTAAGTGATTATGACAGGAATAGTGTATTTGCTATCAGAAGTTAGATTTCTACTTACCTTTATTGAATAATAGTTGAGAGGTAACCAGGCCATAGTAAGAAAACACTTTCTACCAACAAATTACCAATTACACAAACCAAAAAAGGAACAATGAATATAATTTAATATTTGTGGGAATAAACTGAATGTTGATTTGCTGAAACTGAAAGTTGTTGATAAAAATTATAATTGTCAGTTGACAAAATTAATTTGATTACTTATGTACCTTTATGTATGGTAGTCATCTTAGGGAGTAGCAGAAAGAATTATCCAACTTTATTTTAATGACTAAACCTGTATTTTTCATAAATAAATATAGTAAGGCAAAAGATATATTAATCTAATCTATGATATCTGCATCTGCTGTTAAAACCTAAAAAACTTCATCTTATTCATAGGTGTAAATTTTTATTTTTGCAATTTCTTACTAAAAAAATCTGTCACCTTTATATTTTTTACAGACAGCTGTAGAACATGGACAATCAATTACTGTAATAGTGGCAAGGGAAGACGAACCACCATTGAAAGTCATTGTAAGTAATTTTTTATAACTTTCTGAACAAAATAGTATCATTTTAATATAATATACAGTGAAGAAGTGGAAGGCATTTTTCTTCTGAAAATACAGTGTTTAGGAAAGGTTATTTGGATGAAATGTATGGTGGAGTGACTCTTCTTGTGAGGTCCATTACAAACTTATGATAATTTTGACTCTGATGTTATTAAGCCAAGATTACTATGCACTGGCACTGCAGTATAGAAAAAAACTTATTCCATTTCTGTTTCATTTAAATGAATACATCAGAAAATCTTACATATCGTCGAGGACAGTGCAAAACCGCATAACTAGCATTGGATAACTCTGCATATCTACATTAGCAGAAAATTATCAGAAGAAAGTTTAAGCTGAAATATTTTCTAAATTAACTACTTTTAAGGAAATTTTTCCGTAATTAGTAATTATTTAGTGTTTAAATTATCATGTTTTTGGTAGGTTCCACAAAATTCAACAGTGAGGGAACTCAAGAAAGCGATTGCGAGACACTTTGAATTATATCAACAAAGGATGGGTAACAGAGTGAAGATATCTTGGAAGTATATATGGAAGACTTATAGTTTAAATTACGACAGCTTAACTCTGGACAAAGATGACAGCAAGATAGCAGATTATGGAGTAACCAATAAAGTCATATTAACTTTTAAAAAGATAAGAAGAAAGCCAAGATGAATATGTAACTTTTTACTTTTTATTTAGCATATACCTAAAATCACTAAACATTTCTTACTCTATTAAATGTGTAAATACATTTCTATAATGCAGAGAAATATATAAAATATTAATAAATGTTGTTAACTAAATTATCCTTTTCTCTATTACCTCAACAAAACCCAATTTAATAGTGATCTCCAGTAAGTTCCTTTATAATATTTCTTAAATAATTCAAAAATGACAATGTTCTTACATTTAGGTATGTTACACAGCTAAATATTGCCTACTTTATGAGCTGGAATTTTTCATACAATTTCATTTATTTAGAACCAATATATTTTTAACATTTAACATAAGAATATTGTCTGATAAAGATTCATATATAAGATTATAATTGTTCAAAGTCTGGTTGGGGAGGTGGCTCTTGAGGCAAGGGTTCAAAGTCTCCAAGTGTGTAGTGAGGTTCTTCATGTCTCGGTGTTGCCAGAGGGCGGTCATATGCATCTTTCAGGAGTTCTTGATCATGCTTAAGAAGTTTTTATATAATATTAATTATTTGATTTAAATTATATTACGTCTCTACGTAAGATAGTACATACCTGATCAGGTTGTAAAACTGAGGGTGGGGCAAGATCATCTAGAGATAGCTGAGTGTTGATGACCGATGGGGGAGCGTAATCTGGGATAGCTGGCATATTCTCCACAATCTAAAACATTAAAAATATACAAAAAATTATTATATATTATATAATCTCAAAACAGTATAAGTGATTACTAGCCGATACTCACGGGCTCTACTTCATCAGCGGGTTTTGGTTCTTCTCTGACGGTGTTGGCTCGTGCTAGTTCCTCAGTTAAGTACGCGCTTGTGTGTTGTGTCGCGAGCAGATGAGATAGCATGTCCGTGCCTGGAGTAATATTATATTAGTAATTAGAACAACAAAGTTTTTCATACAGAATTGCAAACATTTACGAACTGTATACAATTTTTGCTTCGTGAAACTTAATACGTATTGTTTCTTCTTTTTCATTAGTTATATAAATCTTCACAATAAAATCTGTTAAAACTACTTATTTAATTTAACGATGCCGTCTGGGGATTAAAATATTAATATTTTATTGGTTATTATAGTCTGCTGGTCTAACAGTTACATATACAGGTTGACTAGTGAATTACTATTGATACTTGAGGACGTGATATTTGACGATCATATATGACAAAATAAAAATTAGTATAACATAAATATTAATAAACTTCTAAGTAAAGTTAACCAAAAGTTATGTAATTAATTACGCATCGTGTGAACACCCTACAGATTAGGTATACACACACACACACACGCGTGCGGCGGCGTGGTGTTGTATCAGCACGCCGCCGCACGCGTCCACACTTGGAACGTGTCCACACTTTATTTATTTATACGGAAATTTGGTCAAAAATTAAGTACCTATTTTTTTACATAATTCGTATCAGAATCATTTACCGAGTATTCTTCTTAAATATTGATAGTAATTCATCAGTCACCCTGTATATAAAATTTATAAAAGATAATGAAAATATATTATATTGGTTGATATTCTATAACCAGTGTAAACTGACCTATGTCTGTAGAATATTCGCACACGCAGTATAGCGTGGGAGCGGGTCTAGGAGCGGCCTCCAGTGAATGTGGCCCGGCGCAATATCCACTGTGTCTCAACATCGCTCGGTAACATGATGTAGCATATGGACACTTGCTGCACGACGTGCGACCCCTGGAATATTTCAATTATATTTTATTACTTATTAAACATTTCGTATATTATTTATCTAATCTTTCTTCATTAGAAAATATAGAAATGTTAAAAAGATGATATCACAAGATAATAAGGGCTAGGTACTAAAATAACATTTTTTTTTGCTAAAGTTAATGAGTGTTTTTAACACGATAAAGGAAAAACTACGTCTCTTTACTGAGATTAAATAAATCTGATTGTATTCAATTTTTGCAGCGTCGTTTTATAAATTGGTTATACTAACAGGAAGTGTTTGTCACTGTCAAGCGGCGTGTCACACTCGCGACACAGAATACCCTCTTGTATGACCAATGTGACACCTTCATACGTTTCGCTGATGGCGTGACACGCGACGTCCTTGATGGGAGGGCGGGCTTTGTTCTGAAAATAATATATTATTAGATATTTCCAGTTTGGTATTTGTAGATAAATATGATATACATACAAGTAGTAGTATATACAAGTAGCAGTAAAATAATATGACGTACATACCTTGGGCAGGTTAATCAAGTGCTCAGTAGAACACAGAGGTAGAACCTCCTCGAACGGGTTGTGGTCGCGAATCTGATGCTCTTTCAGTTGACCTGAAAAATATTATACGTACTAATGTGTGTATTGAACTAATTTTATTTTAAATGAAACTAATATAATATAATAATAATAGTTTTAGCAGCTCAATGTCAAATTTCTGTAAATTACCTAAAAGGGGGACTATCTGGAGAACACAACTATTAAAAATAAATTAGAAAGAGCATTTTCAAAACGATGTCGAGTGTCATTTCATTAAACAGACATTATTATTTTATCCAAAAATGGTACTATAAGTAAGAAACTTATATTTTTTTCTTCACCGTCGGAAAATAGAGATTTCAACAAACAGAAAATACACCACATTTTTGAAAAAAGGTGATATTTTGACGGGTGATTTTTCGATTGAAAATGAGGCTGATTTTTCGGTATTTATTCAAAATAAGCTGAAAAATTAAATATTTCTTATCAAATAAATTACAGTGCATTTGGGACATCAAAAGGAAAGTTTTCACCAAATTTCGTGACAAAAAATTGTTTTTTGGAAGAGATAAAATTAAAAACCAAAAACTTGGTTTTTCGAATTTTTCACATAAAATTTGAGATTATGTGAAAAAATGTTACTACAAAAGTTTTAGATCTTTTTATTACCTACAACTTTGCCATATAACTTTACCCACCCCCATACCCTTCCCGACCTCAGATCGCCCGTAAATTATTTTTCCTTTAATTTTTATAATATTCCCCTCCTTTTCTAATGAGTTTCATTCTACTATAATTTATTTTACTTTTCATTGTTTTTAAAGGCATCTGCACTGGCCTATTCAGACTTTTGCGAGTATTAGTTTATAAATACAAGTAATATTTTCGGAATACTTTGCGAATTTTATTATTTTTTAAAACCCCACACTCCCGACAACTCGTCTGCCTTAATCATGTTTGCTGACAAGTAACCGAAACGTCGGGTGTATATTAAGTAGTTTTTAAAATAATAAAATACGCGAAATAATCCGAAAATATTAGTATCATCTGTTTTTATAGTAATTATAGTTATATTATTCACCGAGATGTACGAATCTCAGCACACATCTCGTGCATTTAATCTCAAGTTCCTTGTCCTGGTGTTGTTTGAGATGGTCCATGTAGAGGAGAACGTTGGCCGTCAGTTCACAGCCGTCAGCATACACTGGAATCATCTGAGGACAGATATACGATGATTTTAATTTATTCTACGTATACCAGTAATTGATGAGACCCCTTAAAACTTATTCCTCCTTACAAAACCCATGATTAATTAAGCCATTTTCAAATAACTCTAATAGTTTTGATTAAAAAGCAGAAACAATAAATTGTCTTTTTACAAATGTGTTGTAAGCAGGTTATTAAGTCAAGAAATTATTTCATGGATTTTGCGGAAGTAAATTTAGAATTAAAGTAGGTATTATTTAAGTTTGTTGAGCTATTGCATCTCGCGCGTGATTGGCAAAGCAACTGTGTAGGGCTATTCCGGAGATAGCAGATTCGAACCTTGCTGAGGATGATGAAATTTTTATAATCAATCTGTTTGAATGTTAATCTCCCGCTATGTATGTGATAGTGACCTTGAGGCAGTGCGGACAGACTAGCTTGTCGGCCCGGCGATGTTTGTCCATGACGTGTTGGAGCAGCGCGCGGTGTGCGGAGGCGCGGTACGGACACGCGCCGCAGCTGTAGGGCAGCTCGCGAGGACAGTGGGCCTTCTGCATGTGAGCAGCCAGGGTCAGCACCGCCGCGAAACGGACCTTTAACACATTAACACTATTATTATTATCACCACCACTTTATACAGGGTGACTGGTGAATTACTATCTATACTTGAGGACGTGATATTTGACGATCATATATGACAAAATAAAAATTAATATAACATAAATATTAATAAACTTCTAAGTAAAGTTAACCAAAAGTTATGTAATTAATTACGCATCGTGTGAACACCCTACAGATTTGGTATACACACACACAAACACGCGTGCGGCGGCGTGGTGTTGTATCAGCACGCCGCCGCACGCGTCCACACTTGGAACACTTGGAACGTGTCCACACTTTATTTATTTATACGGAAATTTGGTCAAAAATTAAGTACCTATTTTTTTTACATCATTCGAATGAGAATCATGTACCGAGTATTCTCCTTAAATATTGATAGTAATTCACCAGTCACCCTGTATATACCAGAGTTACTACTGGGTATGCTTTGGTCTTACTTATTCATACTTCTTTTCTGATTAAAATTATGAAAATAATTAATACAAAAACACAGCACGATGTTACATGAAATTTAAATTCTAAGTTCACAAATCATGATTTTCTTTTATACATACACAAATAAAAAATTTGATATCAACAAGATTTACAAAGAAAAAAATTAAAGAAATAAAATTTTACAGATTCCAAGTTTACAAGATAAGAACATGACCTTACCACCATCTAGATTTAAGATAACAACACATAACTTTTTCCATATTGTACGAGAAATATATATAAATAGATTTAGTCAGAGAGATCTAACCTCGCATATAAGACAGGCGTATGTGAAGAGTTCGGGTGACTTAGTGTCTACCGGGTGCGAACACTTGAGATGCTCGCTCAGGTCCGCCTCGCTGTCGAACATGTTGTGACAGAACACACACAGCACGCCCGCCCCGCCCACCACGTGACTCACTAGGTGGACGGACAGCGGCGCGGACTCGTTGAACTCCGCGTGACACACGGGACACTGGAATGTAGAACACAATATAAGATGTAGCAAAAGTCAATGTGTAGCTTCTGCATTAACATCATTGTGATTATATGTAGCGATAGTTCTTTATACATCAGCGTTAGAAAAATAGCATTGTAATCATTTGTAGAATCAAAATGTTTCACAAAAGTTGATAATTTCCTTTTTGAAAAATATTTTCTGAGTACCTATTGTATAGGTATTTAATTTTTTAATACGTATGCTTTAGAAAAAAAATCAAACAGCCTGATTATTAAACTACATATTTACTAAATAAAATTCTTATAATAAGGTTTCGTTGGTTGAATTATAGCTCAGAAGTCGTAGCAAGTGGGGAATTTCGAATTCGATTCGTAGCAAAGTATTCTATATTATATTTGAGGTTATATATATTGTCTCTGAGGTGGTAGAGCCTAGGTGTGGTCAATTACTACAACTCGAAGATAGGTTGGCTCAACCGGGGAAGTACCACTTCCTCACAGAAAATCGGCATGAAATAGTCTTTAACGGCTTCGTTTGGACCGGTGAGTGAGAGAGACAGTTGTCCTTTCCCTTTTCCCACCCTTTCCCACCTTTTCCTCTCCCTTTTAATCAATCAAGGGCGGCAATGTACTACCTCCATCAGGTATTCCATCTGTATTGCTACTTTTCCCAAAAAATAATAATACTATATATACCTGTACAGCTATAGCGATGTCATCAGCTTGTCCCTCGCTCGTTTTTCCATAGTAGTACCTCTCCAAGGACACAGTCTCATCATGTTTCACCTCTTTCTTAATGTTCTTAAGCGGCACGTCGTCCAAGTCATCGTCGATGTAAGTTTTCGCCTTGCGACGTCGACCGTCGGCGTCTTTGTTCTTCTCTTGTTTAACTTTAGACCGCCGCAGAGCTAGTGGAATCTGGAGATTATTTTAAGATACGTTTAAATAAAATATTAAAAATTCGTGACATTTAAATTGAACTTAAACACCTGGATGATATTCTTACTTCGCTCTTTGAGCTTAATTTACATGTATAATTAATTATGTATAGGAACAATATTATTTAATGTGTTGGTTTGATTTATAAGCAATATTTAATCTTTCAATTACTCAGTTGATTGAGGGTTTAATATTTTTTTATTATATATTTTTATAAAATATACTGTTATGAGAACTAAATTCTGAATGAATTATCGGATTTAAATAGCATGACATTATTTAGTTAACATTTTATTTCATTTTTAAATGTAGTTTTCGATTCGATAAAAAAACGAAATTTAGATGTTTGTGACATATTAAATATTTAATAATTATATAAAATAAAATTATACTGGCAATTATGAAGTGACACTAAAGAAATCGTTATAAGTTTAATATTCTTTTCCCCTCAACATGGCAATATCCCTACTAATATTATAAATGCGAAAGTAACTCTGTCTGTCGGTCTGTTACGCTTTCACGCCTAAACCACTGAACTGATTTTAATGAAATTTGGTACAGAGATAGAGTTGACCTTGAGAAAGAACATAGGATAGTTTTTATCTCAGAGTTTTGAAAGGTTCTCTTGGAAACGCGATATAACCGAACTCCAACACCGAACCGAAGCTGCGGGTGGAAAGCTAGTTTGTTACATAATATTATTAATCTCGTCTCACCTCTTCGTCGTCTTCGTCTTCTATGTAAGTCTTATTTCTCTTCTTCTTAGGCGGTGGTGAAGGCGAGCGCTCTTTCTTCTTTCTGCCGCGTTTGCTTCTTACTTCTGGTTCTAAAGAATCTTCCGACCTATCCTTTTTCTGAAACAAGAAGGAGGTTTATCTAGTAGGTGATTAAAAATATATTTTTCTACAGGTTTTTATAACTAGATCTATAATTAAATACTCTTTGGGAAAGGCTACGCGTTTGAGAACATTTAATATGTGAGTTTTACCTTGTTGGGGTACTTCCAGTTTTTGAATGGATTAGAAGCGATCTTATAGAGCCGTATAGTGATGGGGTCCTTAGCGTCCAATTTTGTTTGCTCTGATATGTGAGACACTATATTGTCGAATGCCTGCCCGGGAGATACACCGAACCTGGAAAATATATAAATATTAATGTGAAAAATCGTTATATATATTATTCTTCTGTGAGTGTGTATGTCATTGAACTTCTCTCAAACGACTGGACAGATTTTGATGAAATCTTTTGTGTGTGTTCAAGGAGATCTGGGAATGGTTTAGATTCACAATTTTGTCCGCTGGACAATGTTTTTTTAAATAATTTTTAATTTATTAGTAATTGTTGATACAAACGTTTTTTTTTTGATATTAGATTTGACAACTTACTAATATGTCAATCATTCTGGCGCACTTCAAAACACGGAGATTTATGGCTTTAATAGGTAAACTCCAAAAATATAAATAAAAACGTAACAGATATTTTGATTATAGGGCGATACGAAGTCCGCCGGGTCTTCTAGTAGATATATAAATATTAATGTAAAAAGCTATTAGTTTCCGTTTAGTATATAAAATTTTTCACTACTTTTTTATCCAATCCCAAGTATATTCTAAGAATTTTGTTCATAAAACAACGACAGATACATAGGTTTGCTATGTAATGTTTAATGAAAAACATAACTCACTTTTCTCTCCACACCAGTTCGTCTAGGAACTGTTGTATAATCTGTCTGGATAACAGCGACAGAGTGTTCTGGAACATTCTGGGCACGATGCGTCGTAAGTATTCCATGATGTTAGCGTTGCTGTACTTCATGGGCTGGTCGGAGTGGGACGACGACTGGTGGACCGTCTTGAAGCCCATGGACACCAGTGTCCCTTTGTCCACGGTTAAATCCGTCAGAATTATAGACGAAGGGTGGACCCAAGTAGTAAGAGGTTCTAGAATTTTCTGGAAACGCTTCTTATAATTCTTCTCGTATTCTGCCAACGGCTCCACCGCACGAAGGCGAATCTATAATTATAAATTAATATTTTTAGTTAATGCTTTATAAGAAAACATATTACATATGTCGTATAATTTAAAGTCCTACCAATTTCTCAACGGGATCCAATACACCCAACACTTCAACCTTAACTTGTCTCTGTGTGCCGTCATGGCTCGTGGTACCCAACGATATGACCCCAACTTCGACTTTCTTCCCCGGCCCGCCGAGCAAACCCATGTGTTGATGTATAGCTGACGTGCAAACCGCTCTCAACCAAGTGAACAATCCTTTGACGTATAGATTGTCAACTTTGACCCATTGGACGACATTTTGAACGTTCGTCTGACACGCCCAGTGATAGATGAGCTTCAATAGGACGCTGGGAGGAAACGTGGCGCCTTCGAAGATAGAGCTCGAGAATACGGACACGAAACGGGTCGGACAACACTCGGATATCCACACGTAGCCGCCCGAGTACGGGAACTTTGACACGTCGGAATACATACCTAGAAACAATAATATACATATGAATAATGTTCTAGGTATTAAGTTACTTAATGATCTTTGGTTAAACCAACGTAATTAGACGTAAAGAATAATCTTTATAGCCCAAAGTAGAGACCAAAACTAAATAAAACCATGTTTAAAAACAGTCTAAATGTTGTATTTTCGTGGTTTTATTCACTATGATAGTATATCGAATGTGTTCTGACCCAGTTTGAGTTTGTTCCCAGGGTGTAGAGCGCACCACTGCTCCGACCGCACCAGGCCCTGTTGTATGAGCCACTCGGTGAACTTCATGGGAGTGTGGATGAGAACCGCTTTCACTTTACTATCAAGGGTCGCGCGGTCTGCCGGCACGGCTGCATCTTTGGAACGTAGGTACGGGCGAGCGACTACCACTAGCGACGGGAATGTTTTACCTGTAAAAATATCAAAATGCATGAGTTTCACTATGAACGATCTCAAGTGAAACATATTTCCGACACCAAAGTATTTATGGCTATAAATTCTCCACAGGTCATATGAATATTAATAAATAACAAAAAAAATGATAATTTCTTTTTACTGACCTTATCATACCATACATATGTAACATAGTTATTATTTGTTGAACTCTTATAAATTTAATCACCTTGCAGTTTATTGAACGACACTTCTCTGGAATCAGCCACATTCTTGTTACCGTCTTCCTTGGTCAAGTCGACTATGGCCGTTGTTTTGGTTGCGCTGCCAGTGAGTAGGCCACCGATAGCTGTCGCCTCGGATGGTCGCACGTTTGTTACAACACTGTGCACATCTGGACAAGACAATACACATATTAAAGATATATATTTTCTACTATATTATAGTACTTACATTAGGAATGAAAAATTTTGTGAGCATGTATATAACTTTTTGGGTTTTTGTTCTTCTATCAAAATATTCTAAACGTATTTAGATGAAACTTTTTAGAAAATTATCTATGACATATGAATACAATTCGTTTTAGTGTATTTATCCATATTTTTTGCACACAAAAAACATAACAATAGTCTTAAGAATTTGAAATCATATGACATAGGATATATCTCATTAGTGGTTGTTTAACAAACATATTATACTAAAAGAACAATATCAAATACAAAACTGCTTAGATTTGGACAAAAACTAGTCATACAGTAATACAAATGTAACATAGATATAAAGTGTATCTTACTGGATGGAGCCAAAGTTTTGTCCTTGGTCTTTGTATCTTTCTCATCATACTTCCTTTTATCCTTCTTTTTCTTCTTATGTCTTTGATCGGGTGACTTTGTTCTGTCCGATGACGGGGAGTAGTCTCGATCTTCTTCACGATTCTTTCTGGGTCTACCTAAAAAAATATTGAAAATATTAATTTAATATATCATTTTACTTAAAAAGTTTTTCACTGAAATTAATTATGCAGTGACCATTATGTAGATTGGAAATCTAAAATATTCTAACACAGTTCATATAAATGTTAGTGCTTTCAATATAATATTATTTCAAATGATAAAAGCAATCTACGCAACATACCTCTTTTCCCCTTAACTTCTTTTGTTTCTTTACATATGGACAGGGAGCGTGATCTAGATCTTATTATATCAGCACTTTGTCTCTCCAAATCTTTCAAAGCAGGTTGTCTGGAATTTGATAATACATAAACAAATGAACACAAAAACATTGACAAGTTTTTTTGAAATAGTTTCGACTTATATGTATACCAAGCTAAACCCTATGTTATAAAGACTTTTTGGTAGTATGTATTGGCCATATATTAAGGGGGCTTTCATAGCACAATAAATTGCTAAATATTATATAATATGGATTTTCAATTTATATAACAGAAATATTTGTCACAAGTGCCTTGTAAGTATTGCAACCAACTTTGTACACAAAAGTGGTGGTCACAAACAACACATGACCATTCATGCATAGCATAATTGAAATTTCTAATTATTTTGTTAGATACAAAGATGGTCAGTAGTATATGTAAGGCTGCTAAAGTAAATTTTAAATGTTTTTTTATAACTTAATTAGGCATAGTGCTCTGTTAAAGAAAAATTGAACATAAATTCTATATTTGATTAATGGTAATATAGAAATATGATTACAATTTCCGTGTTCAAGTTTTTTCAAAAACACCTGTGTATAATCATAATTAATGAAATTATATGTGTATGCATTCAACACTTTTTGAAGTGAAACTTCTTTAGGCGCATGAGGGTAATTTTTTTAACAGATGTAATGCCACGCTGGCATGCAACAGACATGTTGAAAAAGAGAAAGAGAGCAATCGAGACCAATCGAGAGAGAGTAAGACAGAGCAAACTAGCCATGGAGTGAGAGTAGGGAGTAAGCAAGTGAGAAAATTTGAGAGAAAAGGTGAAATGCGAATGTTGTATCACACACAGTGCAATGAAATTTCACTTCTGACATGTGTACTTTGTACACACTCATTTTTTTTTTAATTAAGTAATTTTCAACTATACTGACAATACAAAGATGGCCACTAAGTTACTTTTATAAACAAAATTCACTTCAATTTAAATTATATTTCACAAAGTTTTTTTACATTACGATGCAACACTAGATATTGTAGTAATAAAAATAAATAAGTATATGTTAGATAACAGATAAAATGTTACTTCTGGTGATACAAAAATCTGGAGTACAGTGAAACCACTAATTAATAGTGATATTAAAACTATGAAATAACTTTTTAATAAATAATGTATGTAAATCATGGGAAGAAAAAATAAGGGACAGTAGTTTATTTCAAATAAGAAGAACATTAGAATAATATTTAAATATGAAAAGTTTGTTAAAATGTTTATGGTCTCATATAAGACATAAACATATACAGGGTGACTGGTGAATTACTATCAATACTTGAGGACGTGATATTTGACGATCATATATGACAAAAGTAAAAATTAATATAACATTAAATATTAATAAACTTCTAAGTAAAGTTAACCAAAAGTTATGTAATTAATTACGCATTGTGTGAACAACCTACAGATTAGGTATACACACACACACACACATACGCGTGCGGCGGCGTGGTGTTGTATCAGCACGCCACCGCACGCGTCCACACTTGGAACACTTGGAACGTGTCCACACTTTATTTATTTAAATACGGAAATTTTGTCAAAAATTAAGTACCTATTTTTTTACATAATTCGAATGAGAATCATGTACCGAGTATTCTCCTTAAATATTGATAGTAATTCACCAGTCACCCTGTATACTAGCTATAGACCTAAATTATTAATGAGCTAAATTAGATATACAATTCTATTATACTAATCAGTACTCACTTGCCCAGCAATTGGTATGCTGTAAATTGATCACCATTGTACACAATCTCTCCTCCTGTATCTTTTACAATCACATCAAGTTTGTTTTGAATACTTTGATACTCTTCAGTGGCAGTCTGATAGGCTTTTAGCTGAGCCTCCGACAACTCTTCTTCCCAACATTCTAGCTCCAAGGTTGGAACATCAGGTCCGAAATATGATCGTTTATATAAATCGGCCTCTATGATCTCCGCTTGAGGAGGTATAGGAGATGTTTCCTAAATACGATGATAAGAAGTTTTATAATTACTGATATTTTATAAAATGAAATTTATATTCTTAAAATATATATTACCTTTCGCATTTCCATCATTATCAATGAAATTAAAAGCAACTAAGTTTTAAACTTCAGTAAACAAAGCGACAGAGCTTGTATCTGACTTGCGGCTTTCTTATTTTCATTGCAATATAGAATACCGCTATAAAAGAAAATTTATGAGTATTTTAACAGATGTCATGTAGTACAAATATTGGATAGTATAATAAATTTAATTATCTTTTTCATTAATACATTAAGTTGAAATTAGACGCTTAGCTTAGTTTCTTTTTGACATTGATATTTGATAGATCACAGACACCAATGAAAATCACTTTCCAGAGTATAATAGATATCAGTACCAAATTACTTAAATTTTGTTGTGTTTCATAAAATATATTAATTACACTTCTCTTGATATCAATTTTAAATTAAAACCTTTTAATTTCATATGCTTTACTTTTATAAATACAAAAACTTATATAAGTTTTATTTTTGAGTTTAATTAGAAGAATTTATTTAAAATTATGTTTTGGTAACGGGATGCTTAAGGAAAAAATTTAAACCTGTACACTAACATAATAAAGTTAATACATTAATAACTGAATTTAAATTAATGGACTATTAATTATACTCAGATAAACCATACGATGTAAACTAGTTTATTCCTCCTTTGTATTTACTACCTGCCTTATCTGAAGTCTGTGACTAAGGCTGTGCTGTCATTGATATTGGGATTGGTATCAATTTATCAGCCATCCAAACAAAAATGACAGTGCTACTGCAAAACAGCTAATTTGTGACGAAATTAAATATATTGTATTTGTATGAATTGATTAAAAAGCGTAATAAAAATGGAGGCGGTTCCTAAATTACCGTTAATCAGTTTCGAGCTGAAAGTAAGCCCTGAAACTACGCATTTTGGCCCTAAACTAAAGCAGGTAAGCGATTCGATACTCTTTGTAGCAATCATTAGCTGGTGGTTTCTTTGTTAAATTTATTGTACATTTGCAGTATATAGCGGAGGTATATAGAGAAGATCCTGATAGCTATGGAAATGAAATTCATCAACTAGAAAGTCTTCGATCAACAGCCGTCAGACCTACTATCGATTCAGCAGGTCTAAGTGCTCTAATTAGATATTTTTGCCAGCTCCGAGCCATGCAAAGTCGTTTTCCAATGGCGAAAGGTCAACCCGCAGCTTGCACTTTTGCATGGTAATATCTATAATTGAATTACTTATAAGTAGTATTGATTTACATAATAATTTATCATAGTGAATTGAGTTATCTAATTTAGAAGAATATTAGAGTACCAAATTGTGAATTATGACGTTTTCTTTAATATTTTTATATAAATCCATGATTCATTCACTTTTCCAACTATTAAGTTTAATAATATTATTACAGGAAGGATCTATATGCCAATATGACTTGTTCACTAAGTGGTGTAAAATTTGAAATGGCTTGTATATTGTACAATATTGGAGCCATGCATACCCAGTTGGGATCATCAGAGCCTCGTACTTCAGGAGACAGTCTTAAGTCTGCTTGCCAACACTATCAATATGCAGCATGGGCGTTCCAACACTTGAGGGAACAATATCCACAACCTCCGGGCGCCGATGTCTCATCAGATATCTTGAAGTTCCTCCAAGAGATATGCTTTGCCCAGGCCCAGGAATGCATCCTAGATAAGAGCATCCAAGACACTAGAAAGTCAAATGTTGTTGGTAAATAACTTTTTGTCAGCTGTAAATTTTTTTTCACACATAATTGTTTTTCTTACATTACTAAAATATGTAAAATAAGTAGCAAGTTATCATGTAATGATGATAACAATTCCCTAGTTTCTAATATATTATATCTTAAAAAATATATTTTGAATTAATCAACATTGGTATTATACCATTGTCTCTATGTTTTGTAGGTCATTTGTTTTTCATGACTTTTATCATCTTTAGGTGCTGTTGCAACTCAAGTGTTGTACTTCTATAAAAATTCTCTTGCATTGCTGGGACAATCAACCGGAACTGATAACATTCATGAAATAATTGGCACTAAATTGTACAACTACTGGCATCGCTACTTGTCATTCAAAAGTTTTTATATTGGATGTATTGTATGTCTGTACCAAGGTAAGTATATCTATTCTTATTTTCTACTTTTTGAAGGATTGTGAAGTTATAAAAAGACAAGGACATGGTATGTAGTCAACTTATAATGTTTCATTAGCTGAAAAATATATGAGAGGCTTTTTATAGGTTTAGCGCTTTTCTTACTTGTTTGAAGTAATAATTACTGTATCCTTATTAATTAAATTTGAATAATTTAACAGGTATTCATGCAGAAGAACAACAAAAAATGGGTGAAAGGGTTGCCTTTTACCAACAAGCTGTCGACAAATTAGCTGAGGCCAGAAAACTTGCCAAGTACATTGAACCAGTACAAGTTACTCAGGAAGCTCTAACATTCACTAATGATGTTGTGGAAGGAAAACGGAAGGCAGCTAAGAATGAGAACGAATTTATTTATCATGAAGAGGTTCCGGAAAAAGATATGTTGTCAGATCTCAAGCCTGCATGCTTGGTTAATGCTGTGCCCATTAATTTTAATGACCCTGAGGTGAGAGACACTACTAATTCTATATTGTTCTTATTATTAACTAAAGTGAATTAAAAAAACATACTTTTTGTGGAAATCTTAATTTAAAATCTGGAACATTGATAAGTTTACAAATATTTGTTTAGATAGCCATATATTTATTTTCCTTGAACTATTGTTGAATGTGATTTATGCCTCAATTGCAGGTAGCTGGACAAGATATATTTTCGCGTTTGGTGCCCATGGGGGCTCATGAGGCTTCCTCTATGTACTCTGAAGAAAAGGCGAAGTTACTACGACAAGTTGTAGCTCAGACTGACACAAAAAACACGGAACTGACAGAGTTCATGTCTTCACTTCAATTGGATCAATTAGATGTCGTTGATTCAGATCAAAAGTATGTACTTTTATATGTAATATCAACATATGTTGTCTGTAGACTAAACTTTATTGTATTGTTTACATACTTTGTTGGAGCATATTTTTATTATCAGATATTTATCAGACAAATAGATCGAGTCATTCACCTTGATATCAATGATTAATTTAGTTTTGTATACTATATTACTTTACAACTCTGTTTTGTACTATATTTATATGTAGCTAATGATAATATTTGTACATATTAGTTTTTTTTTATGTAAATGTTTGCCACTAATACTGACTCTCTATGTATATTTTATACCTATAATGTATTAAGTTTAAATTTATGAACATGTTGTTTCTTTTTTCTATAATTTATTTTCTTGTATGTACAGATGAGTCATATGCATATTTATAATTATCCATTATAATATATATTCAATTCATTCAATATTACATAATGTTAACAGAATAACTCCAATAGATATTCAAGTTATAGAAATGTATTACTTAAACTAGTCTAATTATGATAAGTTATATGCACATTTAGGTATAAATAGTATAAATAATAATCATACACATTTTTGACTCTTAATCATAACATTTTTTTCACAGAATTCCCCAAGAAATAGTTGATAGATGCGCTGCAATGAATGCAAAAACAGAAATAATTCAACAGCTGGTGGACTCCATGAACAGTCTGGCTGAAATTATAAGTGATGTGGAACATTCACTGAATGAAATAAAAACACTCATACAGGTTACATCACACTCATTAATATCCTACTAATATTATCAAGTGAATATTTGTGAGAATGTTTGTATACAAATTGCTGTTTCATGCAAATTATACTTCAAGAATTTCAATGAAACTTATATTCAAATATAGCTTAGACTTCAGAATTACTTGGGCTTAATCATTTATTTAAAAAATTTTGTTGCTTCCTAAGAAATATAGTCAATAGATTGTATTTTGTATAAAGTCAAAGTATGAGTATTTTCCTGAAGGAACAAAATGTCAAGGTCCTCTCCAACCAAATTATTTTAAATTGTAGTAAGGCAACAAACTAAGTCATTATACTCATATTTTACAGGATGAAACACTTAAAGAGAAAGAATACCAAAAGCAAATGGGTCCTCGTCCGCCTTCAATAGTCCAAACAGAGATTTCCCGGGAATACCACAAGTACCAGGAAGCTCACACACGTACTAACGAAAGCAACCAAGTACTACACAAGGCTATGACGCTACACATCGCTAACCTGAGGTTGCTGTCACAACCGCTGGATGTGTTACAGAGCAAGATACCCAGTATTGACAATATAGGTGAGATTAGTTATAATTATATGTAATTATTTCTAAAATATATATGCTTATTGTATTGTATTGATAATATTGGAAATTAGTAAGCATGCGGTAACGATACATACGCTTATATGTATCGTTACCGCAATACGCCAATTTTTTAAATATATTTATACAAACAATGAGAGAAGTTATGGAAAAGTTTTTATTGTTAGAGGGTCTTGACCGCGAAACGATGTCTGAGATGCGTCGTGTGGTGTCCAAGGCTCGTGAGATGCAGACTCAGCGCGATGCTCTGCTGCAACAGCTGCGGACGGCGCTGGCTGATGATGACGTTACGGCGCAGCTGCTCGCCAGCCAGGACCCGCCAGACGAGATCTTCAAAAGAGAAATAGAGAAACACACACCCACTGTTAGTATCATTACTGGCGACCTTGGTTTGTAAATATAAAATATAGTATTCCCATACATTACTAACATATTTTTTTTCAGGTCAAAATAATCGAACAAAACCTGGCAGCCCAAGAAAATATAATCAATAAGTTGACGTCACTGTACGCCTCATACGGTGACTCGAGACGTCTGCTGTCCGACGTTTTAAGGAAACGCGAGGGTCTTATTAACGGTCAGTGAACTCTTCAATCATTTATATACAGTTATTTAATGATGTAAATCTTATTAGCAATGTATTTGTTTCACAGCGCTGGTAACTTCCTATGATACGCACGCGGAGTTGTTAGGCAAATCGCAGAAAGGTTTAGAGTTTTACCGCAAGTTGGCTCACAA